CGATAAAGTTGATGCTGTCTTAATGCTTAACTGTTGGATTTTTTTCTTAATTAGTAGACTTTTTGTTCGGTCAGCTAATCCCAATTCACTGTTGTATTGGTAATAAAGATGAATTAGAGATAATGATCCATACCAATACTCTGAATGATCTGAAATTGGCAGTCAAAAAGCGTGATTGATCATTCAAACATAACAGCGGAAGCCGTTGAATCAATCAAATGGAGAGGAGAGGACTCGAGAGAGAAAGAACACCTACAAAAGCCGCCAAAGAAGGATTCTTTTTCACTGCACACGGCCTTCTTATCTTTGAGTTTTGCCCACGGAAGACCGTGTTTATAGTCGTTAAATTCAACGAACATATAAATCCATGATTCTAAATCATCCCTTCGACACTGTTCTTTAAAATTGTGACAGTTTCGTGACGCATACCGAATAGTACCCAAAAAGGCTACTTTTTCTCTTGGTATTCTGCAGTGGATAATGTTCTTGAAAAATTTACATTTACATTTCCAGGAGATATGCATATCATTCCGTTCACGTCACAATGAATTATTTCATATTGAAGTTAGACCAAATACTAATTACGTTTTGAGAAACAATTTCACCGAATTATTTGCTGCCTATCTGATAGGAAGATTCGATGAAAATTTGCGAAAAGTACGCTGATCATGTAGTGGACTTTTAAGTGTACCTGATCACTTTAGTACCAGGCAGAGTATACCGTCGAGCAATACCGAAATCTAATAGAAAGATTAGATCAGCTTTATCTTTTAAACCAATCGTGAAATTCTGCGGTTTTATATCTCTGTGAATGTATCCAATATCATGTAAGTCTGCTATGCTATCGACTGTTTGCAAGGCGAGTTTCAAACTTGTACGGAAACTGTAAAAATCATTTATCACAAACGCTCGTCAAATGAAGCAGCTGCATTTCGTGGTATCCAATCTTAATCATTTTTATAAGTGATTAATTTTCCATGGACACAAGCTCTTTCATTTCAATTCTTTTCATTTCAATCTTGATGAGTGTTATTTGCTGATGAAACTGCACCAGGTTGCTCAAACGTCAGTATAAACATGATGTAGTGGAGAAATTGTTACTTTTGAAACTCTTAGGAAGACGACTTCATTCCAATTTATGAAAGCATCACTTTCCGAAAATTCACCAGTGTCCGCTTATAGATTCGTGTATAGTTAGAGAATGAAAGAGTTTGCTTAAATCATTGAGACAAAATTACGATCCTACCTGAATCGTCGTTCTGGCATCTTCTTTTGTAACCGATCAATACTTTTACCAACAAGCTCCATTACAATAAACTTGAAATTTTCTGTAAGACCTAAAAATACAACCACACAGCTACCATTCGACCTTTTCTGTACGACCGTGCAATCAGCCGGTTCACGGAAGATTCGCCTCCTTAAGTTCTACCTTCGGAAGGTTCACCTCTCGAACATACCATAACGATTAGATACAATTGCTTTCACTCAAGTCGCTATACATCAGTCTATTCAATCAGCTTGTTTATGCGAAGTTACCATGAAGGCAAAATTCTTTTTTTCATTTGGAGAGTAAGTTGATGCAAATTTATGGACACATTAGAGCCACTCAATCACTGCATGAAATAATCAAAGATCTTCGCGATGACACAAAAAATTGAATGATTAAAATATCTAATATAACTCATTCCATGAGATGACAGATGGAAACCTTTTCGGAAACGAAATATCTATGAAAACGAGATAAGGGTAGTGAATTTTTCGAGGGCGAAAGCTCCAAAGTCAAGTCCTCCATCATCTAAATTTCTTGGGGTGGAGCTTCGATAGCCCTACTTAGCCGTATAGTTATGAATAGAATGTGTCGTTTAACAAAACGTTTGGTCTTAACTGAGTGAAGGAAAGCACATTCATCCTCAGGAATACCTTTATCTACCATCTCCACGAAATGCAGTCGACTTTCCTTCGGCCTCATTGCACATTCTTGAAATATGTTCATCTCAGTCTTAAAAAATAATGATTTCAATCATCGGCATTTGACACTGACGGCAAACTGCAAACGGCTTAAATAATGCCATTTTTTTGCAAGCGACAAGGATCGAACACTTTTGAATGGAATGAATTCGAAATGCTGATCAATCANATAATGCCATTTTTTTGCAAGCGACAAGGATCGAACACTTTTGAATGGAATGAAATCGAAATGCTGATCAATCAATACTCAAAACTGGACACTAACTAATCCCCTCCAAAAAGATCCTTGCCAATTCAGCATAATCATTTAAACGTTAGGGACGTCCAAGATCATTGGGGTCTTAAAATCGAGCAGTAATTTTTCAGCAGATCAAATAAGTTCTGCACAATAGTACCTTCAATCTATTGTGGCTCTTTTTTTCAGGCTGGATATTTTCAGTTTTAAGTGCAAAAACGTCATCTTCCTTATCCTCAGGCTCTTTCCTTGTCATTTGAACAAAATTGTCATCGTTCTCGTTCGGTAAACGACGAACTTTATAAACCTTGCCAAATCCACCAGAACCAAGAATTCTGATCACTTGATACCTGGAAGCGTGAACAGTTGAATTATCCGAGAAGAAGCTCTTCTTGAACCCAGCGTCTATCTACGATCACGTCAACTGAAGACGTTTATTCTTGAC